CTATGCGAGGGGTGAGAGGATCAGGAGGCAGAGGTCAGCAGAGCCCAATCATGACCCATCTTGCTTGGGTAGCATGCAAGGAAGTTGAACTTTACCCTGAAGCAACAGAAAACCACAAATGGACTTGCAGCAAGAGAGTTACACCATTAATTTTCTGTTTCTAAGTTATCGCTCCGACATAACTGCAAGGCCAACTGGAGGGGAATAAGGATTGCCTGGGACACAAGTTAGGCGGCATGGGCAAACCAGAAAAAAAAAATGTGGGCAAGGTGGCTAATCTAAGGCAGCGGAAGCTAGAACACAGAAGTAGAACAGCTTCAAAAGATAGTTGCCAAGTTAGGCTTTGGCAGTAAGGACAAAGAGAAAATAGGTAATTCCCAAGTGTAAGGTAGGGACCTTTCCTAAGGTAGGGACCTTAGAAAGCTGAATGGGTAATGGCACAATTCCCCCAAGATAAGGGCCATAAGAAGGGAGACAGGTTTGGGGGAACAGATGAATAATTTGGGAATCTGATCGGGTACTGCAGGTGGGAGAGCCAGGTGGAAATGTCAAATATGTGGAAAGAAATATGGACCCGAAACAGTGGAGATATGAAATTGCCAGTTCATGGTGTACTAGTGAGAGCTGAAAGTGGGGTCTGGAGGAGATAACCCTGAGAGTAAAAAGTGAGAGGTCATGGATACAACCTTGAGTAGCACTGACATTTAAGGAGCAGGTAAAGGGTGGGGAGTCTGCCTGGGAAACCAAGCAGAAACTGCCTGTGAAATAACTAACAGGACACTATGAAGCAATCTGCAGCCACTGCAGCACAAGTTCGATCCCCTGCTAGGGAGATACCCACATGGTGCAGCAGACCTCTCCTGACTCGCCTGCTGCTCCCCTCAGCAGTGTGTTTCAGTCAATCTGCCTGTTCCGTTCCCCACTCTGTCTCTGGTAAATCCTCTCACCCTCCACACCTCTGGCCTGTACCCCAGTTCTTGTATGCATAAATAAATAAATCTTAAAAAAAAAAAAACAAACAACTAGGGGCCTCCCCTGTTGGTGCAGCGGTTGGGCGCTGGGTTGGTTGAGCACTGGGTTGCGAGGCTGCCCGCAGCCTCTGCAGCGCCGATTTGTTCCCAGGCCGCCAGTGAGGGTCCCACAAAATAAATAAATAAATAAATAAATAACAACTAACAGGACACAATGTTGAGGTCAAAGGACTCCCCATTGCCCCAGGCGTCCCTGAGATAACCTCTAGCTTCATAAGAGTAGCAATGACTGTCTTCATAGCTGAAGTATCTGCTCTAGAAGGAGGCTGCAACCAGACAGGGATGAAGATAGTAACTAAAATGAGACAGGCTGCCTCATTTAGACTACATTTAGGATGCTGAGTCAAATCAATGTTAACTATGGTTACGTAACTTTAACTATATAATACCTTAACCAAGAAGTTAGTTAAAGGAGTATACTGAACAGACTGTTTAAGACTTACAAAGCACTCAGAATGCAGCAGTGGGAGTGACTGGTCGCACACCTTCCTCTGAAGACAGAGATGAAAAGAACTACAACATGTGTGTATCTCTGCAAAGGCCCCCTCCCTAGGGAAGCCAACTTCATGCAACTGCCCAGGCTTTGGTGTCAAAGGCTGATTTCTAGCCAGGGGTTGCCAGCTGCAGAGGGCGGGGCTCTATTTTGGGCTGCTGCTGTCCCCGAGCCTGGCCACGTCTGGTTTGAGCAGCATGCAGCCCCAGTGACTCACACACCCTTGCAAACCGCCTGTGGCTCAGTGGCATGGCCTCGGAATGCCAGCCTTAGGCCAGCTCCCTCCTCACCCCATTACATCGGGATAAATAAATAAAGAGCCCGCCAGCAGCCGCACAGCCTGATGGCAACCAGATGGAGAAAGAGAGGCACGGACAGAGCCAGGGGAAGGAACTCCCTCCAGTGGACTAGACTGAGAGTGGGCCATGCCCGCCAACTCCTCCTCAGCGTCCTTGCAACACGGGTGCTCCCGCCATGCAGTCATCGTCCACATGACTCAACCGTGCTTCCATCCTAAGCATTTTTCCACCCCTAGTCCTAGAAAATGCTCTCTACAGGGACTGCGCCCTCTGCGAGGACCTGGCCACCAGCCACCCCACCCAGTCCCAACTTGAGTGGTCTCTGCCAGTATGCCCCCTCTATCTAAGCTGCTGTTAGCTGGCCCATTTCAGCTCCCTGGAAATGAAAAATCCGAGGTTCTTGGGGCGGGCGGAGGAAGAACAAAAGGACTAATCATGGAGAAGTAAGCCCTGTTCAATCCTTAAATATTTTTCCTGGCCTTAGTATCCCAGTCACCTCCTGGCCTAACACCCCTAGGTGCTCCATCTCTCTGGCTTCTCGCCAAGGAATAGTCCCAGTGAGAACCAGGACAAATAGACCCCGGGCACTGACCACATGGCCCTCTGACATCAGCCCTGGCCCCCGTGTACCTTCAGCCCGAGCTCTCTGTCCCTGGTTTATTTATTTTCCTATGTTGCTTATTTTGATGGCACATCCTTTCAGCTCAGTCTTGGGTGACCCCATGACCCTTCTGTGTCCTGTTTGTAGGACCCCAGGCAAGCAGAGTAACTGAAAAGAGGCAGAGGCCGCAAATTCTACAGGTCCGGTAGGAAACCTTTTGGTTCTAGCCGCTCTGCAGGACACTAGAGGACAGTGAGAGAACCCCAAAGGTCACAAGAATTCCACATTATCTGAGCCCTGAACTGTCCCCTAATCAGAGTGCACAGCCCATTAAAGTAGCAAAACAAAGTGAGGCTAATCCTGGACTATGAGTCAAGGACTCTGGGAGGTCCTAAACATAAAGCTACAGCTATATGACCTTCAATAAGTCACAGCCTCTCTGAGGCCCAGTTTCTTCACCTATGACATGGAAAGCTATAACTCTCTCTCTCTCTCTCTCTCTCTCTCTCTCTCTCACCCTTTCCAAATATATTTAAATTCTACAAGTCTGTGTGGTTTGAGTGTGATCCACCCAGAACCTAGAGGACCAGCATTCTTGAAGCAGTTGGTTCCAAAACACTAATACCCCTCCTGGGTTAGCACCAAGATTCTAGAGGCTTTCTCATTCAACTGCAGGACGCCCTATCCTGTAACACCAAAGAGGGGGGCCTCAATTTAAAATGAGAAAATAGAGACTCTGAGAGAAACGATTTATCCAAACCTGTAAAAATAAACCAGGAGAATAACCAAGAACCCAAATATAGTTCTAACAACCACAGGCCACACTACCTTCATAACCTCTCTCTTCCACAGACCTGTCAACATAGTCAATCTCACATTTATTGAGCACCTACTACTTCTAGGCACTAAATAGAAATACATTCATCATGGCCCTCAAAGTATCCATAGATGAGTGGAGATGAAAGACATGCCTTACGGACACATAAACAGTGATACTAAAAAGGTATGTGTACAACAGAGGTATAAACCAAGGTACTATAGCAGTAGGGAAGGATTATCTTCATAAGAAGTATCTGGAAAGATATTCCAATTAAGCTAAAAGGGACATTTAAAACACTGATAGAAGTTACAGAGATAGGGCCAGGGCATTGGGCTTTTTAGAAAACAAGAACAATGTGTGCAAAGACATCATGACTAGAGAAAACCACATTTTTGGCAACTCAAAGCTATTCTATATGCGGAAGCATAAACACCTAAAGAAAATGGGCAAGAAACCAAGCTGGATAGGTATGCAGGCATAAATCAGGGAGGACCTTTCTTCTGGGCTAAGAGTCAAGCCTTGCTTTGTTAACTAAGGGGCTGGGCAGGTGGCATGTCAGCCTGGGTCTCGGTTAACCCCTTAAAATCCCAATCCTATGGGCAGGGGAGGCCATCTGAGAAAGTTGGCCTAGGATAGCACCTTGTGTCACAGTCAGGCTTAACAGTCTCTTTCCCCACAAAGACTTGGAGCCCATTCTGCTTCAGGACTTAGAAATACAGACTTTCCTTCTCCCCAGAGTTACAACTGCTTCAGTAGATGGACTGAGCATTCAATTCTTAGTATTTTTTTGTTCTTCGTATTAAGACCCTAAGCATGGATCACTGTTCCACATGCAGCGGCAGAAGGAGAGTTTCCAAATCAATATCCCTGCTTTATGGAAACCCTGTGAAAAGTGCTAAGTCTCAGGTTCAAAAGAAGTATAAGTCACAGTCCTACCCACAGGAGCTTACAAATTAGCCTAGAAGACAAGACAGAAATGTGAATGATCTATACATAGCATATTATAACAACATTATTTACTTACAGAATGAAGTCCCAACTTAGGTAACATGTAAAATTAGAAAGTAATACTAAGGTACTAAGTGTACAACCAACAAGTCCCAGAGAGTTAGAGGAGAAGATCAATATTGACTGGTATTATCAAAGGTCACTATTATTAATACTCCTCCTGTTTGGCATTTAATTGATGTTTCTTTTGGCCAAATTCAATCCTTAGAAGGGAAACCTAGGCAGAAGCTTCTGACAGGCCACAATTATCTACTCCCCATTCATTCCTTTGCCAGCCCCTGCATAAACACTGTGATTTTCCACAGCCTACTATGCCACAAGACAGCGCCCAGATGGTAGCCCTGTGTGTCTGACCTTCCTCTGCTGTGTATGCTGAAGGGACCTGTCACAAGACTGACCCCTCCGCCTCAGTCCAGACCTGCGCTCAGGTACCAACAAGCAAGACTTGAACAACTGGTCATCGAAGCTTTCTAAGGTTAGAAAATTCCAAGCAAAATTCCTAAGTACTTTAACAGAGATGTTTTGCAAATGTTCATCAGCCCACTTTTGCCTTTGAAATCCTCTCCTTCTCACCCCCCTATCATCCCAGGTACATCACAAGCTTTATCAGACTTTCTTTGGTCAACAGAGAAAGGGCTCTTCACCCACACCAGCAACCTAGCACCCAAGATACAAGTCACTGCTCAGGCACCTGGAAAGAGGGAGTGAAGGAAAGTGCACCCGAGAAAGGAACGAGCACATACGCTACCTCTGCCATAAACTGTTCCAAGAAGAAATTTTCTTCAAATGGCTCTGTCTTCAATCGATCTGTAACAAGAAGGGATAAAAAGAACTGTGAGTTGTACAATGTGCTTCCTACCTATGAGATGGAAAGGGACAGGGCCTACAATTTCTTGGGAAAGAAGGTGAAGGTGGGACATCAGAGGTGCTGGGTCCAGAGGGAGAAGGGTTGAGAGTAGGTGGGCAAATGGGAGGAGGAGAGGATGGAGGGTGACCAGCGACAGGGTTGGGGGCAGCATGTGCTCCAGGAGTTTTTCCTGCCGCAAAGGCAAAGGCTAGACTGAATTTTTATTCTGAGTTGAGCTATGGGGCTTCCTCGAGTCCCCAGTCATGCTGCCCTCTTACGGTTTTGTATAGCCGTTGGCCCCTCTCCAAGACCTTTCTCTGCCACTGCCTAGGGCATGTCTGGACTCGGTGACACGAGTGTTGTCACTTGGGTGCCAGCCAGGTACTCAAGGCAGAGAGAAGGGCCACCTGGCATCCAGTCTCCAGGTCAGAGTCAAGCACCCACCCTTGGGAGCACCTCTCTAACATTTTTCTAGGCCCTGTAGCTATCTGTGCCACAGCCTGCCCCCCAGCTACTCAACGCACATCCCTGTACCTCGGCTCAGCGTGGCCCCGCTCTCCCGGTAGTCCTGAAGCTCCAGGTCCTTCATGTGCAGCAGTGTCACTAACTCTCGCACTTGGTGCTGTAGTGCCAGGCTCATGCCCATCAGAGGACGAATCAAATGCTGGGAGACCTTCCATGGAAGAGACGTCCATTAGCCAGCAGATACACGCAGTGTCCCTAGTGCTATATTAGGCGCCAGAAAAAACACTGAAGAATAAATGTCTTCACAAGCACTTCGAGTTACATAGACAAGCATCCCACTTCCATGGATATAAACACATATGCTATAATCAAAGAAGTGCATTAAAGAAGTTTAAGGATTTCTCTGTGGCACAGATAAAACGAAGAATAAAGAACACTCAATGAATAACCTGGAGTTATGACTTCAAGAGAAAGGTGTGACAGAGCTGATAAAAGTGTTGACTCATGTCTCAGAGACTGAGAGACAAAAGCAGAAAATCCAAAGTCCAAGAAGGTAGGAGCAGCTAAAACACAACAGGGTTGCAGAAAACAAAAATCAAGAGGAAGTAGAGCTCTGAAAGTCAAATTAGACCCAAACACTAATTAAGAGTTTTTTCAGAGCTGATGGAAGCCCAGAATAAGCTCAGAATTGGATCTGTTCCTACCAGCGCAGCAGAGCCTAAGATCACTATTGTAACAGAAGCAAGTCAGTCACCAAGAGGCCAGTCTAGGAAGGAACAAACCATCCCCCCACACACCTTGCTCTTAACACGAGGTAGGAAGGAAGCAAGCGCAGCCGGACTGCGGTCCAGCCAGGACGAAGCTCTCCCTGATAATGGATAGCTATACAGAATAACAACTGAATATGCCCACACAAGGTGTCCATTAGCCTGTCAAAGAAAATAACTAAAATCAATCATCTATTTGTGGCTCGGGATGTTTTATCAGAGTTCCTTTCCCTTCCCCCATGGAGATGCACCAAAGGAGGCACTAGGAAGAAATGTCCTAGATCAGAGGTCAGCAAACTCTGTAAGGGCCAAAGAGTCAATATTTTTGGCTCGGTGGCCCATACAGTCCCTGTCGCAAAGTTCCACTCTGCTGCTGTAGCAGGAAAGCAGCCACCAATAACATGCAATCAAGGAGGTTGCTGTGCTTCGATATTACTTTACCAAAAATGGCAGCCAGCCAGATCTGGGCCCTCATGACAGAGTGCCACCCCCTGCCCTAGACCTGAACAGGTATCTTAGGTAAGATACCTCACCCAGGCCAAAAGCCAAGAGAAGGTACTGGAATGTTCCATCAGATGTGCCAGCCAGAGTCATCTGCATCAGGACCAGACTCTCAAAGACTGCATTTCTATTCTCCATAATTTTCTAGTAAAGTTTACTGCTGAAAGCTCCAACTACACTATGGCTCAAACTGAGAAGACAGGACTTCTTTCCACAATTATCCAAAGACAGATTAAAAAAGGAGACAAGCTGGAGTTTTGTTAGGGGTGTAGGTTAGGGTTGCACTGGCACCAGGACCCAAGAAATTCAGGGGCACTGGTGTGGCGTAAAGACCAGAAGGCAGTCCAGCTAGAGACTGGAGCTGTCTCCCAGCTCAGGTGCATAAACTTAAGCCTCCAGGAAGCACTGTTCAGAATGTGCCAGAAGTTCTGCTTTGGGAAAATGTATCTTCTTTAGATCCAACCCTGTTTTAGGAGTTGGGTTTTTTTTTTAAGATTTATTTTATTTATTTGTACATATAAGAATTGGGGTATAGGCCAGAGGTGCAGGGGTGAGAGGATTCATCAAAGACAGAGTGGGGAGCAGAACAGGTAGACCTACTGAAATACACTGCTGAGGGGAGCAGCAGGCAAGATAGGAGAGGTCTGCTGCACCGTATGGGTCAGCTCCCTGGCCTAGGATCAGGGATCAAATTCATGCCACAGTGGCTGGTGATAGCTTGAGAGCTCTGAGACTTTAACCCCTGCGCCACCAGGGAGACCCCCAATGGAGTTGTTTTAGTCCTGTCCAAGGTAGATTAGGAAGAAAAACAGGTGAATAAATGCACAAAAGCAAGCCAATGTTGGTGGATTGAGCTGAAAATGATTACCATTGCTTACCAGCGGGAGAGGTGGAGAAGGGGGGACCATGGGGGGAGGGGTACCAGTGGATTAGGGTGGAGGACTATGGGTGCCTTGGTGGTGGGTGTGGTGTGTTGACACACATCTGAGGATGTAGGAACCTATACTTCTAGACACTGTTGTAAACACTGTTGTAAACGTTACTGTAATGAAAAATATTAACACTATTAAAGAAAATAAAGTTAAGTTCACAATTTTTAAAATCATCTTTTAAGGGGGCGGGGAGGAAAGAAAATAATTGCCATTACTAAACAAGTAACATCGCCATGCATTTGGCGGTAGCACTCAAGTAACAGGAACTCCTAAAGAACAACCAGTCTTGTGCCTCCCTGGTGGCGCAAGGGGTTAAGATGCAATCAGTGAAGCTATCACAGACACTGCAGCATGAGTTCCATCCCTGGCCAGTCTGCTGCCCACATGGCGCAGCAGACCTCTCCTGACTCGCCCACTGCTCAGCAGTGTATTTCAGCAGTGTATTTCAGTGTATTTCAGTCAGTCTGCCTGTTCTATTGCCCACCCTGTCTCTGGTGAATCTTCTCACCCCCCCCACCTCTGGCCTGTACCCCAGTTCTTGAATGCATAAATAAATAAATTTAAAAAAAAAAAGAATAACCAGTCTCTCCCTGCAAAGCCACATCAATAGCAATTTCTTTGAGTAGCGGTCAGTAATATGACAACAGGAAACATGATGAGCAGCAGGCTTATAATCAATGCCACATCTCATTAAATAAGGTAATGCCAGACCAGGCACCCAAAATGATCTCTAGGACCCCATACATACATATACATGTAAATAATATATGTAAATACCTCTAGGACGCCTATGCATACATATATATGTAAATAAATCTTTTATTAGTAAATACTTCTACTTCTCAAATAAGTGGATTATGCCACTTTGAATCATTGGGATATAACTCATTTCAAAATAAGATGAACACTAGCTCAATCAGTTACTTAGAACAAGACAATGGCTGAACTAACAGATCTCAAAGCAAATTCACAGATGCTACAAGGAAAAATCTCAAGCTCCCTTCATTTACAGAGTACAATACAAGGAGGCCACACAAGCTCACAAGTCAATTCAACAAACACCCAGTGGGTGTCTAACACACGTTCTGACCCTGTAAGGCCTCTCCCCTCAGAGAGCTCACAACAGTTAAGAGATCAGGAAGTGTGGTGAATATAGAAGTTGCCAGTCTTGTCCAGAGGAAAGGCTATTTATAATTTCTCCCAAGACTTCAGATTTCCCATAGAAATGTTTACAAGTCATAGGTAGGAGAACAGAATGGCAGTTATCAATTCCAAAATAAATCATATCAGGCGTGGATACAGTGAGAAAGGTAACAGACTAGAAATTAGGAGAACTAGACTCTAATTCCAGCTATGACAGAAGCAAGATGTGAAAATGGCTTAATTCCAAATATTCTCATGGTTCTTGTCTTTTTCCCAAAGACAATTTATGAAGTTGGAATATTTGCTCTAATAGGCCACGATCACACTACAGTTAAGTCATGTTACATACCTCTTACACAATCCTCACAGTCCACAGTATGGCTGTGATTGGCATCCCCATTTAATGGATAAAGAAGCCAAGTTTCAAAAAAATTCAGGAATAACTTGTCCAAGGTAACATAAGTTATAGTGGTGGAGTTCAGCTACAAAGTCAGGTCTGCTGGTTCCAAAGCCTATGTTCTTTCTACCACAAAATAATGCTTTTGAAATGTCTCTTAGGAATCATAAAATGGTGATAAATTTGAAAGTTAAAATATGGAATACCAAGAATTGCATTAAGTTCTAGAAAGAACAGAGAATGGGAAGGAAGAGATGAAGAGAAGTTGGCCAGAAATAGAAATGTGCTCAGTGTCAGCAGGCAGAGACCTGGAGCTTTATGTATTCCGTAATATCCTGCAGAGAGCAAGAACATTAAATTATTAATGTGAGTACACTGTGAGAAGAGGGGGGAGAATGAGGTACTCCCCTACTCTGTATGGCCAGTAGGAGTTAAGCTGCACAATTTCTCTGGAAGCCAATCGGGTGTTGGGTGAGTGACATTAAAGGTACAAACACTCCCTGACTCAGCTATTCCACTTTTGGGAATTTACTCACATGTTTATAGGCAGAAAAAGTAAATACAAGGTTATTCACTATATGGATCAACAAAAGAATGGAAACAACTTAAGTGCCTACAAGGAGCAGATCAATTAAATATGTGTTGATGTATTCATTGAATAACACGCTATGTTGTCACTTCAAAATATTAAGGAAAAAAATTTTTAAAAGATGAAGGCAGGTGTTCTTGGTATATTGTTATGAATGATCTAAATTCTATAATTAAAAGAAAAAGGCAAGGAACTGAACAGTGTGAAGAACATGCTGCCACTTGAGAAAATATAACACAAACACACACGTACCTGATTGTGTGAGTATATTCATACATACAAATACACACACCAACAGCCAGCTCTTTAGGAACTTATGATATTAGTAGTTGCTTTAGAGAAGGAAAGTGAGGGACTGAAAAAGAGGACAGAATCTATTTTTTCACCATCTACCCTTAGATGCTATTTGAAAATGTTTGCCTGTTGTATGACTTACTCATTCAAAAAATTTAAATTAAAACAATTACAAGAATGAGTAACAAAAAAGCATGCCTGAGTAACCACACACACACACACACACACACACACACACACACACACACACACTCACACACGAGCCTGAGACAGCATCTGCCCACATTGGCTCTCACTTTTTCCCTTTATAAAGCTTCATCCGGTTCTGGGAGGTTCTGGGGATTCCCCTGGGATGGCATCCTCCTCCTTTTAATAATAAACATCTTATTTTAACTTAAAGCACAACTGCTAATCAATACTTAGCCAACCAAGGCTCATTCCATTCTAAACACTGACACCTCTTTTCTCATGGCAGCTCCCCAATTAGAGAAATTTGCCTAAAATAGCTAGTTTTTTCTTTACATATTTTTTCAGTTATGATATCATTACACAAGTATTTTTACTATAATATTTTTAAGGAATAAAACTGCTTGAGCCCATCAGCCTCCGAGGAGCGCTGCCTCCCCAATCGCACTGTTACAAATTTCTAGCGCTTTAAAACAGAGGCGGCTGCACAGCCCTTGGGCTTCCCAAAAGCAGCCCAAGAACATGCATTATTGGGGGGGGCAGCGCCCCCTGGTGGCACTTTAAAAAAATACAAAGGTTTTGAATAAACAGGTAAATGATACTTTTTAAAGCAGGATGGCAAATTTCACAAGAAATTCAATTAAAATGAACAAATGTGAGGAAATACTATCTTCTAAGCGCTGTTGATTGGCCTTTTAAATGTATTTAATGAGACATACTTCTCCTAGCAAACAAATCTAGCTTTACAGGATTGGAGATCAAACATAAATATGAGAAAATCTTCTCAAAAACCCCTTTGCCCCATTCACTCTACTGATGCTATAGCATCACGTCACCTCTGAAAACTAAATAAGAGACATAGGTAATAATGCCCGCTGCTATCCCTCAGCTGATAGAACTGCACCCGTAGGCATCTCATAGAAGACTCTCTCCTCTGAAACCATGGATTGAAGCAGGCTCTGTTTATATAGAACAGAAGATTGAAGCAGGCTCTGTTTATATAAGGGACCAGCAGCAGTAACGCCTGCAAACCAGTTCTTAATGTACCTCTCAACTCATAATAGCTAATTTCTCAAAAAAGTTATTGGGGCCTACAGGGCTACAAGTCAACGAAGGATGTTATCCTCCTAATCCCTGAACAGGGGCTTTCAGATTGCAAGATCTGAAAGTCAAATTTCAGCTCATACACCTATAATCTGATGACTTTAGACAAATCACCTTCAATCTCAGTTTCCTGCTCTGAAAAAATGGGATAATACTACTTATCCTGTAGGACAGTTCTGACGACTAAGTGCTGAGATAATGTTTAAGGAAGTACTGAATACTGGTACACACTACCTTCTGCCAGTCTGAGCTAGATAAATACCTAATTGGATCATGTTAAATCCCTGCTCAGTTTTTCCCTTTTTTTGGATTTATTTATTTATTTATACAAGCACTGGGTACAGTCAGAAGCACAGGAGGGTGAGAGAATTCACCAGAGCCTGAGTGGGGAGCAGAACAGGCAGAAGGACCGAAGTACACTGCTGAGGGGAGCAGCGGGCATGGCAGGAGAGGTCTGCACACCATGTGGGACCCTCGCTGGTGGCCGGGATAGAACCGGCGCTGCAGAGGCTATGGGCAGCTTCGCAGCCCAGTGCTCAACCGCTGCACCACCAGGGGAGGCCCTGCTCAGTTTTTCAATGAGTCCTCTGTTGCCTCTTTGATAAAATCCAAACTCATTAGAATCCTTGAAGATCTAAAAATCTTGAATATCTGGCCACTGCCTACCTCATCTCTCACTACTCCCTACAGTCACATAAAGACCCCACATTCACTCTTGCCTAGAGTGACCTCTTTATTTTCTGTCAATCAGTTCCTATTCATCTTTAACACTCAGTTCAAAAACTCCCTCTTCAAAAAGGTTCTTTGGCTCCTTAATCATCCTGGGCTTACCTCAATCAAAGAATTCACCACACATTATTCTTGTTTCTGTCTTCCCACTAGATTATGAATTCCAGAAATAGGTTATACGGTTTTAGGGCTGGACATCCAACAATTAGTCCATAGTAGAGTCTTAATAACTGCTGAATAAAGTCATGAATGAAGGCACCCAATAAAGCAGGTATCCAAAAGCTGTTCTCTTTGCAAGGAAAAGATGTACCCGTCAAGAACCCTTTTTGTCTTCTGTCTAGTCAAAGATAGTTTTCTAATTGGAGAAGACTTTCAAATTGAGTTTACAAAAAAATAAATAAGAGCAATTAAAGCTTCATCTCAAAGCAATTGATATTCCCTTTCCCCACCCCAAATTCATATTGCACTCACCAGGGAAGGGCTGGCAAGGATGCAATGGAAATCCCAGTAGAAAGGGAGACCAGCGAGCTCACTCCGCACCCGCAGTACCAGAGTGTCTGCCACACGGTCACAGGAGAATGTAGCTTCACTGGGGCAGGCGGTGTCCTTCAACAATGGACGCAGCAGAGCATCCAAACGACTGAGAAAAGCAGCAGGGGGGGCAGTCAGGCGCTTGTTCAGTTCCTAAAAAGACAGCAGGAGTGGTACAGGGCGAGGGGGATAAGAGGAAACTGATTGCCTCCTAAGTAAGTGCAAAGGAAAACTCTGGATAGCGTGAGGGCAGTAAGCATGGGGGCAAGGAGGAAATTCAAAAACCACCAGGCCTGGGCCTCCGTGGTGGCACAAGGGCTTAAGTCACAGCACTATGAGGCTGTCTGCAGCCACTGAGCATGAGTTTGATCCCCAGCCAGGGACCTGACCCACATGGTGCAGCAGACTTCTCCTGTCTCACCCACTGCGCCCTTCAGCAATGTGTTTCAGTAGATCTGCCTGTTCTGTTCCCCACTCTGTCTCTGGTGAATCCTCTCACACACACCCCACACACACCTCTGGCCTGCCCCCCGGCTCTTGTATGCATAAATAAATAAATCCTTTAAAAAAAAAATTTAAAAAAATCAGGCCAGAAAAGAAGAAAACAAAGAGAGTCACAAAGATCGACTCACTTTTTCAATTCTGCCTTATAATAAATGTAGCATAGAGCGCACACACGCGCGTGCACTCGCACACACACACTCAGAGTGCGATATGGAAAGGACTACAGATAGAAGTGCAGGACACTAACTGGAATTTCTCAACCTGACTTGACCTTCCTTGACAACCTGGAAGGTGTTGTGCTGTGCAACCCCAGTCTTCACTAGGAAAGAGATGTTCCCCACACCACCCCATAGCAGTACTTCTCTTGCACTTACCTTGGCTCGCTGGCTGACCACACTAGCGTCCACTTGTTCGTGCCACACCTGCTGCAGATCTGAGACCAGCAAGGCATAGCCCTGCGTGGTGATATGAGCTTTGGCCAAGAGGGATTCCTCAGCAAGCTGTAGACATGCCCAGGGTTGCATCAACAGGCCTTGCTCCAGGTCCTCCATCTGTAGGAGATGCTGGAATAGCACAGTGGCCAGGGTACTGTCAGCCTAGAGGGCACCATTCTACAGGGCTATCAAGTCCCATATCAGATAAGTGTTGTGAAAATCCTCCCTCATAAAACACAAAGCCTGGATTGACATATCTACCCCACTCCCCCCATACATGAGCCTCTGAACACCGACTTTACTACCTCTTGGCCACTAAAAATCTATTTAGAATTTTGAGAGATTTTCCCCCTATACTAAGTTCCTAGAGGGCATAAAATAAAATATCTTTTCTCTACAGTGTTTAAGTTTCAGCATAGTTGGTGTGTTTCTGCTTCTAATAATGTAACACAGAGACCTAAATCATTCCGGTTGTATTGTTATAGTGTTCCTAACAAATATGTCAATGCCATCCTTTCCCAGAACTTCTAGAAGGCAGTTCTTATAAAACAGAAAACATAAGCATCAAGAATGGAAAATTCAGGGCCTCCCCGGTGGCACAGCGGTTGAGCACTGGGTTTCGAAGCTGCCCGCAGCCTCTGCAGTGCTGGTTCCATCCCTGGTCACCGGGCAAGGGTCCCACATGGTGTGCAGACCTCTCCTGCCGCCCGCTGCTCCCCTCAGCAGTGTACTTTGTCAGTCTGCCTATTCTGCTCCCCGCTCTGGCTCTGGTGAATTCTCTCACCCTCCCACGCTTCTGACTGTACCCAGTGCTTGTATAAATAAATAAATAAATCTTTAAAAAAGGAAAATTCAAATTATTTGATGATTATCTAAAAACAAAACTCTAGAGGGCCTCCCTGGTGGCGCAAGGGGTTAAGCACAGCACGATGACGCTATCAGCAACTTCTGCAGCAAGAGTTCAATCCCTGGGCCGGCCAGAGAGCAACCCACATGGCACAGCAGACCTCTCCTGTCTCACCTGCTCCTCTGAGCAGTGTATTTCAGTAGATCTGCCTGTCCTGCTCCCTACTCTGTCTCTGGTGAAGCCTGTCACCCCCAGCACCTCTGCTCTTACCCCAGTTCTTGTATGCATAAATAAATGTTTAAAAAAAACTTGAACAAAATAAAAACAAAACTTTAGAATGTATCAGAATTTCATATGTGTACGTGCACATGCATTCCCTAAAACAGGGGTCTTCTTCTAGAGCCTATGCATATGAATCCTCTGGAGTTGCATGCAAAATTTGTTCTTATGTGAATATACAGGTTTAGGGGGAAGAACTCCATAATCATCCCAAATGCTCAAAAGGATCAATGACACATCAAAGAGAACTGAACAGATGAGCCCAAATTGCTTCTTCAAGACAGTGAAGGACTGAGAGATCATGAACACGGGACACAGCACCCAGGCTAAAATGCTGAATTAGCCTCCACGGTGCTCATCCCCCGCACCCCAGCCTCCCTGCTGCACATCCCGGAACTTCTGGAAACCAACATTTCCACTTCGACAGCTAAATTAGTAGGTTTAACCTAGTAGATGTTCAGTAACTATAGTTACTTGACAGGAATTTTGATCATTTTTCCTGTGGGTAAAAAAAAAAGTGATATAATTATTATTTCAGTCTAGAAATACAAAGTGACGGGGGAAAGACTCTTGGAATAATAAGAAAATAATAGGCATTTCTTAAATTTCGTTAACATGGTAAACAGGCTTCTGTTCCTCCAGTCATATTTCTCTCAGTCTGAGCCACCATAAACTAGGTTTTGAAGCACGGCCTTGTAACATAATTTAATTTTTACAGTCACTAGATGGGCGCAATACATAAATTTTTTTATTTGTAGCAGCTTCAAAACCTTGTTTTGGGAGAATGGTACTCCAGTGACATTTCCCAGGTCCTTCCTACCAGAAGGGGTCTTAAACAATGATGAAGCGTGTCTTCACTAGGCCAGAGCTCCACGTTGCCAAAGGTCACAAACCCAGGTGAAGTCATCAGCCTTTCTCTCTGGGCACAGGCACCCCAATACACATTTTAAAAGTCACCAAAATTGGATTATCCTATTCGGTCACTTTGGCAAGCCTGGAAGCTCAGGACCCTTAAACTGTGTGGTCGATTGTAGTTTGGTTTGGTCTGGGGGTAGGAAAGGAGGTAGTTAAGGACGGGCCAGGGTCAACAGGCCCCACAAAAACATCTGAGCCCTTCAGCACCTCTGGGGGGGGCTGCTCCCACACCTGCTGAGCCTGGGGCCAATGAATCTCAACTTTTTCTTTTTTTCTTTCAAGACCGCCTTTAACCATCCCGCTCATCAGATTTCCCTGTTTATTACTCCGGCCTGAAGGGAGGCGAGCGACTAGGGCCACAGCGGGGCGGGGTGGCCTGAGAAGGGGGTCCCCGCGGAACCCCGCCCCGCGGCCGCAGGGCCCTCTCGGCGCAGTTCCTCCGCCGGCCTGCAGAGGGCAGCACGGCCCAGCGCGCCTGAGGCTGGCCGCGCCCCGTCCGCCTGCTGAGGGACAGACGTTCGCCTCCTTTACCACAGCCCCACGCAGGAGCTCTGGCGGGCGTCCACATTCTACCCGCCCTCGCTGGAAGGCGCTTCGCCTTCCACCATCCATTTCTCCAGCACCAGCTTCGCTAAGACGCGGCCCGGGGCGCCTCTAGGAGCTACAGGACCGCCCCCGGCGGCTTCCCCCCGCCCAACGGCCCGCCCACAACCCTCGCCAGCCCCGCCTCGCAGCCGGGAGGCGGACTGCGCACGCGCGGCACGCGCGGCCCCGCCCACCCTCGGAGGCCTGCTCCGGAGCGCCGGTCGCGCGCGGGTCCTTTAAGAGGGGCGCGCGCCCCGGCCCGAGCCAGCCCGCGGGTGCGAGCAGCCCCTCCCCGCCCGGCCCCGGCCCCGAGTCCAACCGGACCCCACCTACCGTGGTGGCTGCGAGAGCGTCCGCCCTCCTCACCGCTGGGCTGGCCGCCCGAGAAAGGCCTAGCGTGGAGGCCGATCCCCCCCCCCACACACACGAGCGCGCAGGCGGGGTCTTGGGGCAGTGGGCGGGGCCCCGGCCCGAGTGGGCGGGGCGTCCGGGCGCCGGGAGCTGACTGCAGGAGCGCCCCGGGCGTGCGGGAGGGGCGCGGAGAGCCGCGGGGTGCGGCTGCAGGGGTGCGGAGGGCGAGGCTCCCGGGGCTCGCGCTGGCCGGGTGGAAAGAAAGAAAGAATGCCGGGGGAGCCCTGTAGAGGGGGTCCGGATGTGGATTTGTGGATTAACCCGTGTCTCGCCCCTTCCCTCTGCCTGTCCAATCTCTTTTTTTTTTTTAATCCCCCAATAAATCGGAGGGTTGAACGTCACTAGATTAACTGTCCTGTCCTCCCCGGCGCTCCAGTTGCTAAAAGCCCTCGGCATAAGCCCCGGGGTCTGACCTCATCCTTCACCTCTGGCCTCATTTCTCCCAAAATTCATCCCCATACTTAGGCTCCGTCACCACTGGATACCTGCGCCTCAAAATTCTAACCATCCATTTTTCACAACCAAAAATCCTCCTCACTTGTCGAGCAAGTCCAGGTTTAGTACTGTTGCGGAAAAGGAAAGCCTTTTCATCTGTTCCCAATCAGAATTGCTTCTTCCTCTTTGCTCCTATTGCGTCGTTTAAATCTTTATTACAGACTGCTTTCTATTTTGGATTTTAGTTAGTAATGACATAAGTTTTTCTTTAAACTGAAAGTACCTTGAGTGAGGCAGGGACCCTGTCTTATTCCTCTGGGAAGGTCCAGGACGTTGAATGCCAGCAGCGTCATTCATATTTATCAAGTAAATGCTGGGGTTCAAATGGTATTGATAGTTCACCAGCAGAATTTCATTCATCCATGGCCCTCTGTACCATGCTCCCCTGCAGTGGAACTTTGGCCCAATGAAGAAAGGCAATATCTAACTAAGTGGGGCTTCTAAGTGGGCCCATTTTATACAGGAGGTTGCACACATGTACCCACACACATTCTCTCTAGGAGAAAGTAGAGCCTGGGAACTAACTCCAACAAATTGGGAGATAAGGCTATACCAACCAGGGCAGATATAGAAGGCCTGGTAATTACTGGGACCGATGTTCTCTGTTAGACCCAGGGCACTGCTCCCCCAAACCAGATAGCAAGTCAGCTGTCTCTCCTGGCTCAGCGGACCCTCTTTCCTCATTCCCAGGGTCATCAGGCAGTGGGCAGAGGCAACGGAGGGGCTGAGGGATGCAGGGACACAGGTTTTGGACAGGGACAGGAAGCTGGTACTCTTGAGCAGCCTTCTCCCTGGACTTCTGAGGCCACCAAGCTTCTTGGGCAGCGAAAGGAGATGGCAGCCCTTGACCTAGACCTCGCTCCAGCCGTGTTCCTGCAAGAGAAAAGTTGATTAGGCCATTGCTCAACCTAGGGAGTGATGACTTCTTAGATACTCCCCAGCCTGTTAGGACCTGGCCTTAACTTACCTGGAACGGTGTTCTCTAGAAAGAAGCCCAGGAGTCCAGCCAGGAAGATGGGCTCTCTGAGCAGTGAGCACAGTAACACATCCAAGGGACTCCAGCCTACAGGGGGTTAGGGCCAGGCAGGAGGGGAATTCTGATCCTAAGCAAGATCAAGGATTCTCATCCTTCAGGCCAAAAACCTAAGTCTTGGATTAAGGACACATCTTTCTGAATTGTTGCTCCATCTCTCTCAACCCCCCCCACCCCGCCTTTGTCCCTCTCCTCTCCATTTCCCACACCCCACCTTCCCACAGGATCCCCACATCACACTCTTTCTTCTAAGCATCCACATGCCCACCAGATATGCTTTGATTGATCCAGGCTCCCTTTCTCTGGAAAGTTTGGGATTAAAGGCCCCTCATGGGCCTCCCCAGTGGCACAGCGGGTTGAGCACAGCATTGTGAGGCTGTCTGCGGCCTCTGCAGTGCAGGTTCAATTCCCAGCTGGCCAAGGAGATACCCACATGGTGAGGCAAACCTCTCCTGTCACGCCTGCTGCTCCCCTTAGCAGTGCTTTCGGTCCGTCTGCCTGTTCTGATCCTGGCTCTGTCTCTGGTGAATTCTCTCACCCTCCCATGCCTCTGGCCTGTACCCCAGCTCTTGTATAAATAAATTAAAAATCTTTAATAAAAATAAAATGGGGGCTTCCCCGGTGGCGCAGCGGTTGAGCGCGGGGTTGCGAAGCTGCCCGCAGCCTCTGCAGTGCCGGTTCGATCCCCGGCTGTTCCCCGGCCACCAGAGGAGAGTCCCACATGGCGCGCAGACCTCTCCTGCTGCCCGCTGCTCCCCTCAGCAGTGTACTTCGGTCCTTCTGCCTGCTCTTCTCCCTGCTCTGGCTCTGGTGAATTCTCTCACCCTCCCGCGCTTCTGCCTGTACCCAGTGCTTGTATGAATAAATAAATAAATAAATAAATAAATCTTTAAAAAAAAAAAATAATAAAAAATAAAAATAAAATGGAAACCTTTAAAAAAATAAAATAAAGACCCCCTCATTCCCCACTTCTTACCTACTATGCTCTAGCCTGGGTTTCTCAACCTCAGTACTCCTGACATTTTGAGGCAGATACTTCTTTATGTGGACAACAGAGGTTGTCCTGTGCATCGTAGGATGTTTAGCAGCATCCTTCTCCCCACTAGTGACCAGTAACAATCACTTCTCTGCTGTCTATAACAGTCAGAAACGTCTGCAGGCATTGCCAAATGTCCCCTGTGGGGCAAAATCACCTCCAGTGGAGAACCATGGCTCTTTATTAACGTGAGCTAAAAAACTCACCTGTTTGCTGCTCCCCAAATATACCCTGTGACTCCCTACTTCAGTCTTTATGATGGCTCCACCATCAGGAATGACCTCATCAAATATGTTGAAATCTGGCCATCTTTCCAGACCAGTTCAACGTTACTTTCTCTGAAATGTGCCTGGATTGTCTCAGATGGAAACCTTCTCTCACCTCTGAGCAGTGCAGCACTTTATTGGAACCTTTCTTGCTATGCCCCACACATCTCATCCTTTTTACCAAACTGTACCATCTGTAGGCCCCTTAGTGCCCTAAAGGGATAGTATGCTGCTCACTAAATGTGTTGAGCAAGTGGACGAACTGTTCACACCAAATCCCAGAGAGGGTGTGAAGCCAGGAGCCCGGAGAGCTGGAGGCCTCCAGCCCTTGCTTTCCGAGGACACTGAGCAACACAGCTCCCCTCCCCCTCCCACCTGTGCTCAGTAAGGCGGGGGCTTCCCGGAGCCATCTTGGCAGCAGCAGGGCCATGAAGATGGAGAAGCCGACATTGAGAACATTCCTCCCAGAGTCGATGTCAGCCAGGTAGAAGCTGGAGAATCCAGTGGACAGAATCACCGCCTGGGTCACCCCCAGCACCCCACCTGTTTCATAGGGAAGTAACAGAGGGGTTGGAGAGGGCTGACACAGAAGGGGCTAGTGCAGGGAGGGGCAGGCCATGATGGAGGGGACCAAAAGACTCATTTCTGATTCTGCCAGAAGCCCAGTCAAGAGGCCAGGATGGGCTGAAAACTGACTGTCTCTGTCCACACATCGGGGAAGCTACTCAGAAAGAAAGGGTGCCAACCACAGCCAATTGGGCTACCAGGGAGGAGGGCACTGCTTCCCTACCAGACCTGCTGATATGCCTGTCTACTCACCAAGGACAGGCAGTGGGATGGTGGTGAGGAGCTGAGCCAGCCTCGGGGAGAGCCCCAGCACCACAGAGAGCAGCCCCACCAAGTAGGCCACTCGCCGGGACGCAGCCTGCGTGAAGAAGGGATGTTGGAAACAGCCGCCTCCTTGATCAAGTTTTTGTGTGGCTAGTCCCTCCTCATTCTTGGGATTCTTCTCATTCTGTGACCCTTTCAAGAAGCATCTCAAGCTCTCTGCCTCGGATCCCTAAGCAGTCCCCTTTATTCAGCCACAGTCCCACCACCTGCTTCCTTTTCTCTATAGCACTTAGCACTGTCTGATATTATCCTACTTTGTTTCTTAAATTGCCTGGCTCTCCCTTTATCAACTCCCCAGGAGAACAGGAACTTCATCTGACTTGTTCTTCCGGGACTCCTGTCCTAGTACAGTGCCCAAGGCAAAGAAGTTCAGTTGTGATTCAGGGTCCCCCCATAGTCCCTGTCCCTAAATGAGATGATGGATAGAAGGCACCTGACAGCTGTGCACAGCTGGCCATCTACCCTGTGAGTTGCCTTCTCTCTACTGCATCTCCAGCTACCCCCACCCATCCCCATCCACATACCTGAATAAGACTCATTGTGCCCACATTGGGGAAACTGGATGCAGTGCCCATGGGGCTCCCCAACAGCCCAGCCAGCACACTGCCCAGGCCTTCCAGGCCCAGACCTCGACTGCAGGCATGTGGAGGTGGTGAGGGCAAATGTAGCAGCCGACCACACAGGGAGTAGCAGCCCAGAGAGCTGGTGGAGGCTGCCAAGGCCATGGAGATGCCTGCAGCCAAAGCCCTGGGTGTCAGCAAGGGCCAGTCCCATTCAGCTGGGGAGAGAGAAAGAGCCACCTTGGGGCCAGACTCAAATCTGAAGCATCCCCCCGTCTCCAACAGCCTGCAGTGGAAAGAGTCCTACAGGCTCTGTTGTCTTTGAAGATAACGCCTTGGGACAAAACTACTGGAATCTTAGGATAAAGATTCATCCTTTTACTGTGTTCTGCTAGGAATTTTTTATCTGATCCTTCCCTCTCTCTAGCCTCACTTCCTCCATTCCAGATACACGTCCTTGTTCAGGTGCCTTGTACTTGCTGTGCCACCAGCCACCACAGTGCCTTTGCATATGCTACGCCCACCCCCTAAAATGCTCTTCTCTCTTGCCTTCATCCAGTTGTGTCCTAGTTATCTCTCACATCTCAGTTTAATGACCACTTCCTCAAGCATACCTTACCTGACCTTTCTGAAAGTAAAAAATTTAACAAATTCCCTATTATAATGTTGCATTACACAATGTATCTCCCCTTTGTTACACTTACCAGCTGCAATTTTAGTTACTTTGGGTGACTATTAGTATCTGTATTCCCCAACAGACTATAAACTCCATGAGAGCAGCCACTGTTTATCATTAACAATCCTATTATGTGCCCAGCACATGATCAACATTCAACAGACCTTTATTAAATTGATGAATGAGCACACTTCACATATAGTGACTCTTAAGGCAATCTTAGAACACCAGCTCAAATGCCTAAAAGCCAAGGTAACATAAATGAGCAAACTGGGTGAGGAGAATCGAAAGGGTTGGGACTTTCAGAAACTATAGCTGCCTCTTAACACCAAATAAAACACCTTTGGTGAGGGCTAGCACTGCCCCGCCCCCCGCCGCCCCCCAGACTGGCAATTTCTCCTGCGTGTTTAAAAAAATGCAGGATTTAACTCATAAATGAAAGTCATTAAATCTTGAGTTTAGAGGAAAAGACACTTTTCTTTGAGCAAGAGGACTGGAAGAGGCCCCTACCTGGGTGCGGCAGCCAGAACCACGGTACCTGGGTGGTGGCAGACAGCTCCAAGGGGACGCTGCTGAGACCCAACAGGGCAGAGAGGACCCACACACAGGCCACTGGGACCAGCACCTGAGGAGCGAGACTGAGACAGAGAAGAGCCCCTCCCACAGAACCTTCCAAACCGCGCTGGAGGAGGAGACAGAGGCTAACCTTCCATAGCAGCCTTTCTAGCCTCCCGGCCCCTGCCCAGACCCACCTACCGAGAGCAGCCGGAAGGCAGGGACTTGAGTGTGAACTGACGAGTCTGAAGCTAGCCTCCAGGGTAGTGGGGGTAACTGGCAGGAACCCAGGTGCTGAGAACAGATCACCAGGAGCAGGATAAGCCTGGGCAAGAGAAGGAGCTTTAGGAACATGAGGAAGCAGGGGGTAATGGAGGTGGAATGGCAAAATACCATAAAATGGGGGCCCGGAGAAGAAAGCCCCCATGGAAGGGGTTGATCCTGGTAAGGCTCTGCCCTGTCCCAGCCCGCACACCCCACTGGTCACACACATGCACCTCACGCCTCTCAGGACTTACGTACAGCAAGGCCAGGCCCCAGTGAGCAGAGCAAAACAGAGCCACTTCCCTGTGGACAGAAAGCCCTGCCACAACCAGGCTGGGGGCCAGCACCAGGGGCCCACAGTGGGGGAGCACATGGCCAAGACCGCCGAACAGCCCCAGCATGGCCTGCAGCAGCCCGGATACCACCACTGCCCCAGATACCTGGTCAGGTGGAGGAGAGCACAGAGGAAAAACATTCCGCAGATTGAGTTGACCTCAGCCTGGACTTTCTAACAAATTCTCCCCCAGGCCATCTCAGTCCCTCAAAATGGGAACCTGAGCTTCCCCACTCCCCACATGATCCTTAGCCCTCCTGCTCCCTATCCTCCGGGACTTACTTCTCGGAGAGATGTGTTCCAGAGCTCCGGGCTATGGCAGCCAGGCCCCCCACACAAGCGCAGCAGGGAGGCTGGGAAAAGTTGGGGACATGGAGAAGAAAGAGGGAAATGGGACAGGAACCCAATACTCTGCAGTCCTGGCTGATGCCTGGCACAGGTCCAAGACCCCACAGTGCCCAGCAGTCCCATCACTGCCCAATCTCAATCTTGCACCCACCTACACCTGCGTGTGCAGATAACCCCCCCCCCAATCCTGCCCTCACCCCACACACTTGCTCTCTGCTCACAGTTTCCAGATGTCCGGATGGCCAGAGGTAGCTTCTGGCTGGTCAGCACCAAAGCAGGAACAAGGGACTCTAAGGATGGAGCCTGGACAAGAGGCAGCCTGTAGGAACAGTCCAGCCCATCTGGAAATATGGGCAGCCAAAAGGACTCCCCAAGCTCTCCTACTCTCCTGGGCCCCATACCCCACTATCCAGGGAGTTCCCCTCACCTGCTGCCTATTGAAGTTTGCAGAGCAGTAGACACACCACACGAAAAGAGACTGGAGGCCAGGAGCTGAGCAGGGGAGTAAGAAAGTCCCCCTGGGGGAAGATTTTGAAGCAGGAGCAGGTGGAAAGCACAGAGCAGTGAAGTGAGGACCAAGATATGCTGCAGGTGGAGGAATGAATACAGAGGGGCAATCTTCAGATATAGGCAAAATCATCTATTTGCAGAAAGTTTCTCATGCCATACCCAATTCCCTCAAATATCCATCAGCCAGCCCCAACTACTGCACCTGTCTCCTACCTGCAAAGCCAGAAGACAGCTGAGGCCCCAGGGCAGAGGCCCATGCAGAGAGACCCAAGAGTGAGGGGGAGTGGGGGAAGTGGGGGCTGGTGGCAGAGGAGCCAGGGTCTCCTGGGAGCCCAGGGGTCTGAGTTGGATGGGTGGGGGTGGAGATCGGCTCATGCTGCCCTGCCTTTTGTCTTGTCTTGGCTGCCCTGGGCCAGAGTGAAGTAGAGTGAGTAAGAGGTCAGAGTTTGTGTGAAGTTAGCTGCCTGGAGTGGGAGAGGGTGGGGGGCCAATGAAGCGGAGCAGAGGGATGAGGGATTTGAGGCAGGACCCGGCCCTTTCACCTTTGCCCAGCTCTTGTGCAAATTCCATCACCCATTAACCGGGGAAACATGTTCTGGAGCCCTCCCCCCAAGACTCTCCATCTTGGTCCCCTTTACCGGGTTCTGGAAAGTAGGACGGGTGGGGAGGAGACCTATAAATAACCTGGGGAGATTTTACAGACCATATTCCCTCTTCACCACCACCATTTGTTGGTTTTTTTTTTTTTTGGTTTTTTTAGATTTATTTATTTATACAAGCACTGGGTACAGTCAGAAGCACAGGAGGGTGAGAGAATTCACCAGAGCCAGAGCAGGGAGTGGAACAGGCAGAGTGATGAAATACACAGCGGAGCAGTGGGCACAGCAGGAGAGGTCTGTCGCGCCATGTGGGACCCTTGCCCGGTGGATTGAACCAGGGCTGCAGAGGCTGCGGGCAGCTTCACAGCCCAGCGCTCAACCGCTGCGCCACCAGGGGAGGCCCTTCACCACCACCATTTGGAACCACCTCAGTTGCACTGCAGATGTCAAACCTTTCAGGGCCAAGCCCCGGGACTAACTTAGAAGGAAATGCGGGTACTATCCTTACATTGTGCATGACAAAAGCATGACCACAACATTGTATAACATTCTCACTGTAATATAAAGGGAAAATGAAGTTTATGGTAACAGGGTTTTCAGTATGTGAAAGCGTGGACTCAGCTAACCCAGAAGGCAATGATGTGGCCATTGACCACCCCCACTCCCCCAGCCAGGATCGCTGTGAATGTGGTAGTCTGGTGCCTGGTGACACACACACCATGGGCAGTGCTACCACTGGTGACTTGATGTTCCAAAATAGCGAGCAAGTTCTTGGTAAAATGCCGAACAAAGCAAAGTACACTTTTAATTTATACAGACGTGCTCTCCTGGAGAACTGAATCCTCAAAATATGCAAATCCAATTTTGCATTTACATGTAAAAAAAATCAGATCGTTCTAGACTCTAGACTCTAAACATGAACACGTTTTCATAGACAGATCTCCTTCGACTTACAATGGGCTTCCATCCTGATAAACCCATCTTTAGCTGAAAAAGCCGACACTGGGTGCTGCAGCTCGCTGCCTCCGACCAGCATCACAATTGTGGCACCTTGATTTCTATGACATGCACGTTGCTTCTACACCATCACGAAACCAGAAATCATAGGTCGGGAATGACTGTACATGATATTCGGTCAGTCATACAAAAGCTGTTGGTAGTTTTTCATGAGTGTCTAAGCATTTCAGATGTCTAGCATCCTGCCCAGGCCAACTACATGCCAGCAGTATCCCCTCAAATTTATGACAACAAATTTAAGTTTTTGTAAGATTTGTATTTGAAAAGTTTTTACACATCTGTATATGAGAAGTAAACTTTTAAGTTTTCGAAGTGCTCCCTAGGGGGCAGTGCCACCCCTCTGTGAATCGTTTTTCGCCATCCCAAATGCCCTCAAGCCCAGAGGCCCAGAACAGTTTTCCTTCTGCCAGGGATAACCCAGCCTTGAAGTCGGGATAGAGGGATGTCCTCGGAACTTCCATCAAGGAGACCAGAGGGCTGAGCAGGATCAGGACTTGGCCCCTCTCCCTGAGGTGTGTTTCAGGATCCACAGGGTGGTGCTCACCCAGGACACAGCAGTCAGGACTAACCCCAGGCATAGTACAGTCACCATCTGCATCCCTCAGCATCCAAATAGAGCAGTGCTAGGGGCCCCAAGGTGCTGGGAGCAAGGACAAGTCTGAAACGGGAAGGTGTCTATGCCCATCAAACAATAGGGAAGTGTGGAAACAGGGCTCAGAGAGAATGAGTTGCAAGATGATGGGTCAGGGAGGGAGGCTCAGCACAGCTATGGGAAGAAAGTTCTTCAAGGGATGCCGCAGAAGGAAGAGTCCAGGCCATGCAACTTAAACTGTTTATTGAAACCTCAGAGCTACAAAAGCATGAAAAAACCCAGATACAAAGCAGCAGCCAGAGACACCTGTGAAGAGACCACCCAGGAGAAGGGAAAAGAAGTCTGGGAGCAGGGGACTAACAAGAGAAAATTGGAAACAAAAGGGCAAGGCAGAAGATCCCAGCAGCCTCTGGCTCCGTCAGACTACATCCAAGGGGCGGGCGTGGAGAGGGTTGCCCACCTCACCCACCTTCCCTCAACAGCTCCCACCTCGGCCCTATCAGTCCCTGGCTGGCCTGCTTCAGGGACATCACACAGACCCGGATCAATGCTTCCTCCCTTCCTCACCCCACTTCTCCCAGCGCCCACCTTTACCCTTCCATCCCAGGGAACTCAAAAGCAAAGGTCTAGAAGAGCCCAGGAGAGGTGAAGAGATAAGGGCTTCTCCTCTATCTGTGACAGGCCCATGGTCACCAAGCTGAAGTGTTCCCTGGCACCATCACCACCCTGGCCAAGCAGCCAGCTGGTCACTGAGATCGAGGAGAGTGAGTGACCTTCAGTCCTGGCCCATACCCCCTTAAGCTCCATCACCCAGGACAGGGGACCAGCCAAGGACCCAGAGAGGTAGAGAGGATCTAAATCAAGCCTTGCTCCTCCAGGTTCTCAGGGACTCCCAGCCTCTGAAAGCATTCTTCGGAGCCCGACCTAGCCTGGGAAAATGAAAGACTTGAGGCGGGCCAGCTCCATGATGCTGAAAAGGGAACACTGCTGGGGCTGGGGGAGCAAAGAGGGCATCGGGCTCCAGGACCAGGGTGGAGCCAGGCCGTGGGTGCGGTACCAGGGCCTGGGGGGACCAGTGGGAACCGTACGGTTGGGGTGGTGGCAGGCTCGGCAGGTTGGGGAGTCCCGCTGGAACTTCTGACAAAGAGAGCAGTGCTGGAGAAGACTGGGAGGGGCGGGAGGGTCAGGAGGAGGCAACGGTGGAGGAGTCAGTGAGGCCAGAAGACTTCCCCAGAGTGAACGCAGCCCGACATCTCCCTCCAGGCAGTTGGAGACGTTGGCAGGAGACGGCAGGCACTGTGGCATGGGGGAAGGAGGTCCGCAGCGTTCCAAGAGGCACCTGGAGGCCAGTCTGAGGTCCGGGGGGCCAGGTGGGGGGCTACAGGACAGCCCTAGTGATTGGTTTATTACAGCCACTGATGCCACAGCCAGGGCCACACTGCTCACATATGCCACAGCTAATAGGCAGGAGAGCTGTAAAAGAGGAGGTTAAGAAAGGTTAGTGTTCAAACACCCCTCACCCCAAACTTGCTTTAGACTACCTGCGACATCCCTTGCCTTACTGCTAAAACCTCTGTTCAAGTTAGAACTCACTGTCACCTCCCACTCCCAGATCTTTCTCCTGAGTTTCTCACATTTGATTTATAATAACACACCCTACACACCACTGTGCTCAAGTCCCCTCTCTGTCCTGAATCCCCTTACCTTTGCCAGTCGCTGGCACAGGGAGCCTAGGGCCAACTGCCAGGCCGGCTGTTCCAGAAGCACGCTCAGGTCTGTGTAGGTGTACCAGCCCCGCCGCCGTCCCTGCTGCTCAGCCACACTGTGGGAAGGGGAGCAAAGACAGAGATTGTCTACATGGCCCTGCAGCCAGCCCAATTACTCTCTTTCCCCTTGGGACCGCCCAGGAAAACTGCGGAGCATGTTAGACAATACAAGTTAGCTACCTGTTGATCCAGAAACGGAGAGTGATACCAAGGTTTGTATTTTAAAAAAGCTTTTCCTATCCTCCCAGGGGTGATTATGAAGAGAGCAGACAAGCCAGGGAGCCACTACCTTGGGCACTCATCTCTATTAAGCTCCTCAGGCTTAGACTTCAGCCCCCAAATCCCTTGAGTGCCTCTTCTAACTTCTAGGACCTACCAGCCTTCCAGCCAGTTCAGCACCTCAAAGATCTCCCGTGGGTCAGTGTAGAGACGCCAATCCTGTGTGTAGAAGAGAAGGGCACCAAACCAGGCTCAGAGTTGAACCACACAGTAAGAGCTGTTGATAACAAGAGCCACAGCAGCAGCCACAACCACCATAATGTCTAACACCTACTGGCACTGAATATGTGCTGGATACTATTCCAAGAGCTTCTATGTATTAGAAGCTCTAATCCAGTCACCACATTATACCCTCCTTGAAGGGCAAAGTGGGAAAATAATCCTGAGAATGATCCAAGTCCATAGCGAGCTCAGAGTTGGGGGGCACAGAAAGTCTGGAAGCAACTCATTAGAACCCTGTAAGCTGGCCTCCCCTGTTGGCGCAGGTGGTTCAGCACAGCGCTGTGAAGCTGTCTGCAGCTTCTGCAGTGTGGGTTCAATCCTGGGCAGCCAGTGAGACACCCACATGGCACAGCAGACCTCTCCTGTCGCACCCGTGGCTCCCCTCAGCAGTGTACTTCAGTCTGCCTGATCTGTTCCCCGCTGGTGAATCCTCTCACCCTCCCCACACATCTGGCCCGTACGTACCCCGGTTCTTGTATGCATGAATAAATATATCTTAAAAAAAAAAACCAAAAAACCCTGTAAGCTAAGCTCTGGCTCAGAGTGTACCCACTGGCCAAGAGAGATGGAGGGATGTTACATTCCTAGCCTCGCCACACCGGGAACCCCAAAGGCTATGATTGGTTCAGAAAGGATAGAAAGGGATGATATGAACAAGGACCGACCCAAAAAGAACAGGCAGAAAGAAATGAAGAAAGAGCAGATTAAGACAAAAATACACAGGATGAAAAGAATATGAAGATGGCCCATGGAAATGAAGCAGGAGAAAGAATTGTTACTCACCATGGCACTCAGGAAGCCCCTTTCCAGGGCATTGAGAGTGGGCACGGCCACGCCCCCCGCAGCTCCCCATTCATCATTGAAGACTTCCTCTTCTTCCCCTTCATCGTAGAGATACTTACTGGCCACCATCTGCAAATAAGCCAGAGTTAGTGCCAGCAGAGCTTGCACCCAGACTCCGGGCTCACCAGGGATAGAAGGGGGAAGAGACACCTTACCATAGAGATCAGGAACAAGTCAGAGGAGGACACGTGCTGTAGGTAGTCTGGGTTTCGGTGCCGGAGTCGCTCAATGTACACGAGCGCTAGCATCATCGCACACGGGGAGATGCATGCCTCCCTGGGAGGAGGAGAGAGTCAGTAATTAAACCCAAGGGTCTTCTGGCTCTTGTAATTCTTATGATGCTCCTACCTGGGTCTTTACATCATCTCCTTAGAGATAACCACTGGCCCTCTAGGGCCCAAACACTCTCACCCTGCCCCCCAATTTCAGGCTCACCGTGACACGTGAGCTACGTATTTCTTCTGGAGTCGGCGAATAGGGCTTGGGGCTGCTTTCTGGAGGAGTTCCACAGCAATGTCTGGAGGGGAGAGGGAGACACGGGGGTAAAAGCCACAGTGAGCAAAGAACTCCCCCACAAATCCTCACTGCTATCAGCAGAAGACCCAAATCTATATTCTCTGATGCTTTGGGGACAAAGCCATGGTGATCAAATTCTCCTATACTGAGACAAAAACCGAGTTTCAAGTTTGAGTTTCAGTTCCTTCCAGCTTATTTCCCTGTCACCTGAAATTACCTAGCTTTGTTTTTCCACTCTTGTTCCTTTGAGAAAACAAACATGCCTTGTTTATCTGGGAAACATGATGGATTCCCCTTGAAAAGTTAAGTTTTTGGTACACCAATCAAGTGATATAGATCTGCATGGTAGGGGTGGGGTTTTTTTTGTTTTTGTTTGTTTGTTTGTTTTACTCATTTGGGCTTTTTAAAACATGCAAACTGTAAACTGGATCCTTACACCAAGTACCAATGAGTTAGCTATGACGAGACAGTGCAGCTCATGGGGTACACCTAGAGTCATTTCGGTGAGGCTGACAACCCCATTTTCAAGCTCTCTACTTGCCCAGTAATACACCCGAGTCTAACCTGCCACTGGGCTGGAGAGCTCTTCCAGGCTGCAGTCTCCTTCCCAATCCCAGCCATAGTAGAGTCTCCTCCGGATCCGGGCACTCAGCTTCTGGTGTCCTGGGAGGAACTGAAACAGGGCCGGAGAGTGGTGGAGGGTGAAGGGCAGGGAAGGGTGGAGAGTCTGGCTCAGGGCTGGAATGGCTCAGGGCTGGCCTGCCCCGCTGCTAGTGGCGCCCGTGCCCCACCTTCTCTGGATTGTTTGCGAAATGCAACGCAGCCAGTCCACCGGGGGAGGGATCCTCCTCCAGCGAGGGACTCTCATAAGAGGTTCTCCGAAAAGGATCCAGCCTGCCACCCCTAACCCCATTCCAGTACCCCGCGGCTCTCCCTCAGGGCCCAAGCGGCCGGGGCCTCGAGTAGGCAGGACTCGAGCGGCTGCCTCCCGGCTCTGGGCAGAGCCGTCAGGCGAACTCACGGCGCGGCTCGGGCCCCGAGGGGCCCTCCTGGGGCCGCCCGCCCCCAGCACCGGGTGGCCGGGGAAGGGGGCGGTCCGGGCCACAAGCTCACCGAGAAGTCCTGGAAACCGGTGAGAGAAAAGGTGCCTTCTTCGTCCAGGAGGAGCCCGGCCAGGTCCATCGCGCCGCCAGCCGCGCTCTACAAAGGTGGAAGCGGAGGGAAGGAATTTTAAGGGGCGCGCGGAGGCGTCCCGGCCAGCCCGTCCACCTGCCCGCAGCCTCCGGGCCGCCGCCCTAGCAGTGCCGCCCCCTCCCCTCGCGCGGACGGCGGCAGGCGGAGCCGGGCGGGCGGGCGGCTCTTCCTCTTCCGCCGCGGGCGGGGCTCGGGGCTTGGGGCTCCGGCGGGGCTCCCGAGGGCCAGGGTGCTCACCCCAAGGAGTAGATGAGAGTCCGACCGCGAGGCGCGTGCTCTGCCTTTGCCGCGCGTCTGCCCCGCGTTTATGAGCCGCGGCGGGCGGGGGGCCCGCGACGCGGCGCCCGCACTTCCTGCTGCCCGCGCCCCCAGCCGCGGGGGTGGGAGCCCCGCCAGCCCCGCTGCGCCCCAGCCGACCTCGTCCGAGAAATGGGGGCGACCCCTGGGGGACCTCGCCGCCCGAGGATGAACGGGCCGGGCTGGCCTTTCCGGATGGAGGCAGAAGTTGTGTGGAGAAAACAAAGACGCCGAGCAGCGAGTTGTTCCCCTTTATTTTGTCTTTAGGGACACTGTGCACACACATTACGTAAGAAACCAGCGGGGACGAGCTGCGAGCCGGGCGGGCGGGGAACTTCCTTTCCGCGGTGTGGCCGCTTTCCCGCAGCTTGGCACTGAAACCCTCAGAAAGGCGCGCGCTTCGTTGTGCGCCCCGAGAGGACACGACCCCACGGGAATGCGAGGCGCCCGGCGCCCCCCCCCCGGGGTCTACACGCTTCCCCCGCGAGTAAACGGCGCCCGATCAAGCTGTTAGTCCCAACACTCGCCCCCGGAACCCAGTCGCCCGCCGGGCCGGGGGGTGGACGGCGCGCCCACACGGGTGCGAGGAAGTCACCGAAAGAGCCGGGGGAAGCCACGACCGAGGAGCTATTCCGGCCTGTGGAGTCACGCGGCGCAGTTGTTTACCGCGGAGGGGAGGGGCGGGGAGGGCCGAGGGCTGAGGAATGGGCGGGCCGCCGCCCTTGCAGAGCGGCCGCGGATCCCGCAAGCGACGCTGCGCTCGCGGAAGCCCACGTCCTGCCCTCCGGGCCACACTGCCTCGGGCACACGAGGCCGGCCCGACTCCCCGGCCGCTCAGCCTCCAGCGGGAGAGGAGACCCGGCCGGGTGGGGGGCGCCGGACGCGGGCCGGCGCTTCGGCGGGAACGCGCACCTGCGTCGCAGCGAGTCGCCGGCCGCCGCCAGCGCGCAGGCGCGGCCGCCCGGGCCCGGCGCGTAGGCCGCGTCACGTGACAGGCCCGGCGCTCTGTCGTCACGTGACGTCCGTCCGCGGCCTCGGCGGCGCTCCCCGCGGCGCGCGCCCCCTTCCGCCCGACGCGCCCCCAGCGGCGGCCGCGCAGCCCTGGCTCCGCGCGGGCTCGGGCGGCGGCTGCGGCGGGGCGATGGCGAGCGGCGGCGGCGGCGGTAACACCGGCGCGGGCGGGGGACCCGGCCTGAGCTTCGGCCTGGGCCTGGGCCTGAGCCTCGGCATGGGTGAGGCCACCGGCGAGGCGGAGGAGGAGGCGGCCACGGCCGAGGCGGTGGGACGCCTGGCCACGACGCTGTGGCTGCGGCTCCGCGGCTGGGAGGCGGTGCTGGTGGCCGCGCAGCGGCTGCTGGTGTGGGAGAAGCCACTGCACAGCCTGGTCACCGCGGCCGCGCTCAACGGCCTCTTCTGGTAACGGCCGCGGAGGAGGGGGCGGGGCCCCTGCGCGGGAGAGCGGGGGCGGAGGGGCTGCGAGCGCCCTTCCCAGCCCCCCGGGGCTGGCGCTCGCCTGGGGGCAGGCGCCCCGCCCCCGGGCTAAGGGCTGTTGTCCGCCTGGGTCACCCCAACCCCCGAGCTTCGGGTCTCGAGTTAGGCCGGGAGGTTCTCATTTCCCCATCAGTGGGCGCTTTTTCCGCCTTGCGATGGATGCAGGAGCCTCCCTCACCCACTCACCGCCGAGGTGCCTGTCTCTCTCCCTAAGGTTACTGTCTTCGTCGTCCCTTCGGCCCTTCTTTCTGCTCAGCATCTCACTGTTGGCCTATTTTCTGCTGGATCTTTGGCGGCCTCGCTTCTTCCCTGATGTCTCAGGTGAGTGTTACTCATCCTGCAAGCCCCCTTGTGCGCTTGCTTTGTGTCTCGCCCCGCTGGGTGGGCTGGGTGGGTTGAACAGCGACAGGGGAGTACAGCAGTTCACCTGCCTCCCACATACCATCAGCTCACCAGGTAGGAGGTGGAGACTTGCACCTTTCTCTTATTTAATTTTAATGTGAATGTAGGGGTTTAGAATGTGAACTCTGCAGCCAGATTGCCTGGATTCCATTTCCTGTTGGGTCCTTAACGTGTGTGTGATCTTGTAAAAGTCACTGTCTGCTTCTTCATCTGTAAAATGGGGATGGTAGAACTTTTTCGGGAGGTGAAGATTAAATGAGTTAATAGGTATTGTGTGCTTACGGTGAGGCTTCACGTCTGATAGCAATTACAGGAATGTTAGAACTTTCATTTTTTTGTTATTCATATATAATTACCTAACAAGCATTTTGGAGCAACGCGGTGCCAGGCTGTGTGTGAGTTGTTTGGGAGGTAAACATAAGATGTGGTTCCTGTGTTTGAAAAGAATAAAATTTAAACATGGAGACAGACATATAACAGCATAACAGTAACACTAATGCTTTCTGCATTGGGCAGCTGAAGAACTGCAGAGGAGGGGGCAACTCTTTCTTCCTTGGGGTCTCCCAGGGCCTTTGTCACTCAATAATTTGTCCCCCTCCTTTCTCTATAGCATCATCCCCAGAGGAGCCACACTCTGACAGGTGAGTGCAGGCTACCTCTTGAAGACATGTGCCCAAACCCAGTCTTACTTTGGTGCTGATGTCACCTCAGTGCAGGGCAGTACTGCCTCTCTGCAGGGACAGACCCCAGCATTGTGGGTGGACTGGTAACAAGCCTGGTCCTAGGTTCTGGTGTAGGTGTTTGTGTGCCTGCTTCTTTTGGGGCAGAGGGTTGGGAGCTCTGGGCTTTACTTCCCAGGACCAGGACAGTCTCCCCTTGGGGAGGTAGGGTTGTCCACTTCCCTAGAAGATCTCATTGGCATTCTCAGAGGGATTTGAGTGGTCAGGAAGCTGGTGTCTGAGGCCTCCAGGGGTCATGTCATGTCTCCCCAGTGAGGGTGCGGGGTCAGGCGCCCGGCCGCACCTGCTGAGTGTGCCCGAGTTGTGCAGATACCTGGCTGAGAGCTGGCTCACCTTCCAGATTCACCTGCAGGAGCTGCTGCAGTACAAGAGGCAGAATCCAGCTCAGGTAACTTCCCCCATGTCACACAACAGTTTCTTGCAGTGTGGGGAAATGGAGGTGCGGGGTGGGGAGGACTGAGATGAACTCTGGTTAGAGACTCTGAAAGAGACCTGGTGCCTTCTTGAGACAACATTCATAGCTAGCACAGTAGCTTGGGCAGGAGGCAGACTCACCCCCAGGAATAAGCTACTGATGTCCTGGCACTATTTTCTTGCCAAGGCAGACCAGTCTGAATTTGTAGGTATTTTCTGGTGTCTACTGGAAACTTCCCGAATCAATGGTCTTTGGCATCCTTTTGACTAAACTGAATCATCCATTTCCTAGAGGACCTGCTCCTCTTCCCACCAGCTGAGCCGTGCCTTACCCCAATGAATAGGGTATGTCCTTGAGTCCAATTTTCTTAGACCCTGTGCTCTTCTCTGCAGTTCTGTGCTCGAGTCTGCTCTGGCTGTGCTGTGCTGGCTGTGCTGGGGCATTATGTTCCAGGGATTATGATTTCCTACATTGTCTGTGAGTAGGGTGTAACCCCTGCCCTTCCCCAAACCCTCACCTGTTGTGTTTCTCTGGACTGACCCAAAGGGAGGATGGTGCTCTCGTCTCTGGTCAGCTACCCATTTATGGAGCTCTCTAGGGGAGGCTGTGTGTTGATTCAGTAACAGTGGAAGAGTCATCTGAGGAAGGGGGACAATGGATGTAGAGGGAAGCGGTTGGCACAAATTGGGGAAAGGACCACATCTTTTCAGCCTTTTCTGGTTATGATCCGTTGAATAAGGGCCCTTAGATGACGAGCATAGGGAGCACTGAGTGGACTCCTTAACCCCTAGTGCTGAGTATCCTGCTGTGGCCCCTGGTGGTTTATCATGAGCTGATCCAGAGGATGTACACTCGCCTGGAGCCCCTCCTCATGCAGCTGGACTACAGCATGAAGGCAGAAGCTGATGCCCTGCATCACAAACATGACAAGAGAAGTAAGGGACTCATAATCTGGGAGAGGGAGGGAGGGGAGGACCTTGACATAGGGCTTAGGAAGTGCCTTGCGATTTAGACACTCCAAGTCCCTTGGCCTTATTTCCCACTCCCACCCCACCCCTGCTGGGTAACAGCCTTTCTGTTCTTTTCTAGAGCGGCAGGGGAAGAATGCACCCCCGGGAAGTGATGAGCCTCTGGCAGAGACAGAGAGCGAAAGCGAGGCAGAACTGGCTGGCTTCTCCCCAGTGGTGAGGTTTAAGGGAGATGGGTGTCCAGTAGAAGACTGAGGGAGAATCTCTCTGCCTTAGAGCAGCCATAGCTCAAGGGAGTGGGAGCTGGGGCAGGTGAGGGGTCTTCTTGGAAAATAGGTATTCTCATCCCCTCATCTGGTGTATTCATCCTGGCTCTCTTGCAGGTGGATGTGAAGAAAACAGCCCTGGCCTTGGCCATCACGGACTCGGAGCTGTCAGATGAAGAGGCTTCAATCTTGGAGAGTGGTGGCTTCTCAGTGTCCCGGGCCACAACTCCACAGCTAACTGATGTCTCAGAGGGTATGGGTATGGGAAACCCTTTACCCCTCCTGATCCTCTTAGCCTCTGCCACGGGACACTGACTGTGCTTTCTGCTTGGTGCTTCCGTAAAAGTTTTCTAAGGGGCCTTCCCGGTGGCTAGGGGTAAAGTCTCAGCGCTATCACTGCTAGGGCCTGAGTTCAATCCCCAGCCAGGGAGCTGACCCACATGGCGCAGCAGACCTTCTGTTCACCTGCTGCTCCCCTCAGCAATGTAATTCAGTAGGTCTGCCTGTTCTGCTCCCCACTCTGTCTCTGGTGAAACTACTTGCCCCCTGCATCTCTGGGCCAGTTTTTCTATGCATAAATCTTTTTTAGGCGGGGAGGGGAAAAGTTTTCTTGCGGAACTGATCCTCTCATGCTACCCCAAGCTGCAGAAGACCTTACCACCTGAGGCCTGGCTCAGCATTTCATGTCTTACATTCTCAACCTTGAACCAACTGGCCTATTGTGGTCATTCAGGTTAGCAAGCCCATTCCTGACCCTTTATTCTGCACACAGATTTGGACCAACAGAGCCTGCCAAGTGAGCCAGAAGAGGCCCTGAGCCGGGAGCTAGGAGAGGGAGAGGAGACAGAGCTGGCCCCTCCCGAAGACCTGCTGGCCCCACCTCAGACCCTCTCAAGGCAAGACCTGGATTTGGAGGAGGAGGAAGACAACGTGGCAGACAAGGAAACCTTGTTGCGGCTCTCATCCCCCCTTCATTTTGTGAACACGCACTTCAATGGGGCAGGGTCTCCCACAGATGGAGTGAAGCTCTCCTCTGGAGGACCAGTGGAGATACTGAGCCCGGAGGCAGTGAGTGTTGAACTCACCACAGCACCCAGCACCCTGTCACCCCTGCTCTCCCTTGCTGAAGGTGACCCAGTTCCCTCCCGCTCAGTGCTTCCACCTCTTCCCCAGGACTTACCCCAGCCCCTTCCTGCCCCTGAGGAAGAAGAGGCACTCACCACTGAGGACTTCGAGTTGCTGGATCAGGGGGAGCTGGAGCAGCTGGATGCAGAGCTGGGGTTGGGACCAGAGACATCCCCAGAGCCTCCTAATGCTCCATCCCCTCCACCCCTAGAGCCTGACAACCTGTCCCTGGTACAGTCAGACCAAGAGGCTCGGGCCATGGCAGAGCCATGAGCCATGGGAGAAGCAGTTGCAGGCACAGTAGGACTTCCTGGTTAGAGGTATCACTGTTTCCCCCTTTCTCTACTATTTTGGGGAGAGGCAACACGTGGGGGAGCTGGCTGTCAGATGGTAGCCAGTCCACCCTCTGCCTGCCTGCCTGCTGTCCCAGGCCTGGTACTGTCCCTGTGCCTGGGATTGGTTTTAAGTTTGTAAATAATTTTACTTTGGGGTTAGTGGATGTGAACAGGGCTAGGAAAGTCCTTCCCACAGCCTGCACTTTGCCTCCCTGCCTCATCTCTATTCTCATTCCACTTTGCCCCAAACTGTGGTGGTCTCTCCCTTTCTATTTCCTCCTATCCTCAGGGACCTGTGCTCCTCTGTCCTCGTGTCCCACTGGTTGTTTAGTTCAGGCACTTTATCATTTTTCTCTGCTGTCCCATGCTCTCTGCTTTATTTCCCTGCTGTGTCCTGTCCTTAGCACCTCAGCCCCTATACTTTGCCAGTTCCTCCCTAGCTGTAGGGAGGCTCCTATCTGGGAGGTATAGACTCAGCCTGGGGTGGGGATCAGGCCAGTTGTTCTGCACTTAGGTCACTGTATCCTTGTAACATTCTCTATAACCTTGCCCTAGTTCATTCAGCCTTTCGTGATACAGGAGAGAGCAGGGATCTCAGCACACGTACCAGCACTGCATGAGTGAGCAGGAGCTCTGTCTTGTTGGGATGATAGACTCTCGAACCATCGTAGGGAGGAGTAAGAAGACCTCCTCCTCTGGGCCATGGGTGGTCCAAGTGTGGTGGGACCTCTACTAGAGTCAGGAAGTGGGTGGTAACATCTGTGCAGGTGTCAACTGGAAAAATAAAGTGTTGATTGCCTAGAACTGCTGCTGCCTGCCTGCCTGCCTGCCTCACTGCAAGCTGCCCCCCACACTGTGCTCTGTCCCCTCCTCACCCCCTACCTCCTTATCCCCAGTCTTGTTCCTGGCTATTTATTTACCTTGTGCGGAAACAAAGCCAGAGGCAAGAATTACCCTGACAGCCCTAACTTCCCTTAGCCATCTTCCCTGACAGTGTGATATGTCTAGTGAGATTTAGCATGTGTGAATAAAGTGTATGCAGGAAGAAACTGCTTTGTCTTCCCAATCAATAGAAATTTGGGACCATAACAATGACTTTCTATACTATGTCCCCTATAACCTTAACTCTCTTCTCAAGAAGTCCTTACCCACTTACATGCTAACAATTTACTCAGCCCTGAATTATCAAAACTGGGGAAACCAAGTAAGCAAATTCCTTGATAGACCTAAGTCAAAGAATACTAGAAAAACAGCCTCCAACACTTAGTGAATGCATAACATGTGCTTGGCACTGGCCTAAGTGATTTATGTTAACATTTTGTTCTTGTACTCTGAGATACATACTAACCCCATTTTAGAGTCTTTGTAAGTGATGGGACCAGGATCTAAAACCCAAGCTGTTTGGCCCTGGGGATCACCCTGGAACAGGAAGCCCCTGTCTGTTAATAGAGCACAAGTTAGAAGATGCTCAAGGATGTGGAACTACACTGAGCCAGTCTTTATCTTGGCTTCACAAAGATTGGACTCTTCACCATTCTTCCTCTTTGGGGAAGAATATTAAAACCCAGAACCAAACAGATGGCCTCCTTTATGAGTTCATGGCTTTGGCCTTGAGTGGAGGTACCATATGGCCATGCTACTTGTTGAGAGGTTGACTCCTATGCCATGTCTCTCCTAAGCGTGTGAGAATTTTTCCCTTCGTTTCATATTTGCCTAAGACAGTCTTCCAAAGATTGGGGCCTTGTCCTCAGCCATTAAAGGAACATGAACTTTTAATCATCTAGAGATTTCATAAAAGAATGGAAAAACTCTTCTCGTCAACAAACAGGCAATACAAGAAAAACAACCAATTAGACGATGGCTACCATATGCACCACTTCAACAAGTCCATTTCCTTGTTAAACTTGCAGTTTGAAGATAGAACCAGAAAGCTGTAGTCGAATGAAAACATTCACCATAGTCTTGGAGTTCCAGGAGGATCTATTCTTGACATTCCCCCTGGTCTGGTGGTTGTCACGTGTTTGTCTACAGTTTTTCTTTATCAGGTGTCCTGATCATTTTCTGCCCCCTGAGGAAAGGAACAAGGAAACTTTTTATAGGATTGAAAGAAAAATGAGCAGAAATGTGAAACCTAGAATTAGGCTAAGCAGTCATCAATTGCAGAAGTGCATGTTGGCAGAGAGAGCTGTACACTCCAGTTAACTACATTCAAACAGCTCATAGCATAATATGCCTGCTCACAAGCTTAATTTACCTTTAGGCACCACCACTGGAAATACTGCCAGAGGATGGCCTGCTATGTTGTTAACCAATTGAGAAAATGCAGTTTGATCCGTGCTCATGGGGAACTGTCAAACTGTTTAAGCCAAGAAAAGAAAGGGGAGTTAGGCCACATTTGCTATCTTCAGATTCTGAGGGTTTATGTTACATCTTCAGAAATAAAATCTTTAAGAATTTGATTAGTAGTGCTAGGCAATTCCCCCTCAGCTACATTTCTGACTTCGCCATCCTAATCCTTACTGTTACCCTCTCCTTGCTACTGCCTAATCACTAAGCATTGACTCTGTGACCCTGAGAAAACCTGCTTATTTTTTGGAAGCAAGTTGAAGACAGAATCCTCGCCCTACTGGTATTGGAGATAGGTGGGTATTTGTGTGTGTATATATATATATATATATAGAGAGAGAGAGAGAGAGAGAGAGAGAGAGAAAATAAATATATACCATTTTTTATGTTTTAAGAAGAATTTTGTCTGTTTTTGCTTGATTTGTTAAAGAAGCAAAATATTAGCTCACATTTTATACTCTCTTTTAAGTACTTTTTTTTTTTATAGAGGCATGTTTTATTTATTTGTTTGTTTGTTTGTTTGTTTTGTTTATACATGCACTGGGTACAGTCAGAGGCGCGGGAGGGTGAGAGAATTCACCAGAGCCAGAGCGGGGAGCAGAGCAGGCAGAAGGACTGAAGTACACTGCTGAGGGGAGCAGCGGGCGGCAGGAGAGGTCTGCGTGCCATGTGGGGCCCTCCTCCGGTGGCCGGGGAGCAGCCGGGGATCGAACCGGCGCCGCAGAGGCCGCGGGCAGCTTCGCAACCCAGCGCTCAACCGCTGCGCCACCGGGGAGGCCCTCTTTTAAGTACTTTACATACATCCTCTCATCTAATAACCTTGCAAAGTAGTATCGTTCCCATTTTATAGATGAGGCTTGGGGAGACAAACCTGGATTCTAACTCAGTCCACCTAGCTCTAGCGGCTGAGTGCTTTAAACTGTGCAGTTTTGTTCTGACATAATTAAGCAAGATTTGCCCTGCCAAAGGTGGCAGCATTGGAAACCACTGGACTTCATTCTCTGGCTTCAGTTTGTGGTTCCTGATATGGAAACTGCCATTAATAGGTGCTGAGTAAATACAGAATCATGTAAAAACAAACAAAACATCCGTCTGCCCACCTGTGACTATGCAGGTGCTTCTTTTCACCAACTCTCTCCCTGGGCAGGGCAGCAGCTTCCTGCTTGCCCGTGATCTGCACCATGCCAGGACTACAGCACTAGGTATAATTTATTTTTCTGGTCAAGAAATATTGCAGAACAGGGCCTCCCTGGTGGCACAAGGGTTTAAGACACTACCTATGAAGCTATCCGCAGCCATTGCAGTACGAGTTCAATCCCCGGCCAGGGAGCTACACACATGGCACAGCAGACCTCTCCCGACTCGCCTGATGTTCCCCTCAGCAGTGTATTTCAGTCAATCTGCCTATTCTGTTCCTCACTCTGTCTCTGGTGAATCCTCTCACCACCCCCACATCTCTGGCCTGTACCCCAGTTATTGTATGCATAATAAAATAAATCTTAAAAAAGAAATATTGCAGAACAGCAGATTTAAATGCTCTTTAAAAGTACAAAGATCAAGGACATATATTCTAAGAACTGTTAATTCCATCATGGAAGGACAATATATCACCAGGTTGTTTTGCATTTAGTGCCTAACTTAAGCCTCCTTGACTTCTCTTCTTCCTCCTGCTCCCCTAAATGTTGGTGTTTCACTGGGTCTGTTGTGGCTCACTTTTCTTGGCAGCCTGCCTGTTCCACGTGCTTACCCATTTAGTTTCCACTCATAGGCTCATGACTTCTAAATCATAGCTCCTTTCTCACAGCTTCCAACTAGGCATCCATCTCCACTTGAATGTACCATGAACATCTCATACTCAACATCCCAAAAACTGAACACAGCCTCTTTCCACTCTGTACTCCATCATATATCCCCCAGCTCCCCTAAACAGACAGGCATTTTCTGTGTTTTCTATCTTGCTGACTGGCACCACGAACTATGAAGCCTATGTCACCCTCATCCCACACCCAGTCAATCACCAGTTGCTACTTATTTGATGACCTAATTATTTCTTGATTCTGTCACAGCCATGATTCACAGCCTCCTCATCTCTCACGTGGACACTCTTGGAGCCCATCTGAAATTCATGCCCAACAAAGTGGCTAGATTATTTTAAAATATACATTTAATAACCTTTCTGCAATTTAATATTAGTCAATTTTTACAAATTTAAGTTTCCTTATATTCTTAAAAAACCTCAGGTCTGCCTCTGCCCTGCCTTACTCTTTATAAACATTACAGCATCAAACACCAAACAGCTTGTCCTTCCTTCTGCTCAACTGCACTGTTTTCCCCACCCATTCCACATACACATACCCTTATCTTTCCACCTCGTTGACACATCACTTGTCTCTTAAGGAGGACTTCAGGTCACACCTCATCTAAAAAACCTTCCCTCAAGTCCCACATCATGTGGCCCCCATATATACCTACTCTATATACTTCTATTTTCCTATATATCACATAGAATGTTCATCTCTCTACATAAATATGGTATTAGAGTACATAGGAGTATGTGTAGATGTATAGACTATACTACAGTGCTTATTCTTGACTGCAGGGACTAGTCTCAAAGTCTAGCATAGTGCCTGACACATAGTAGATGCTCAATAAATGGCTACTGGACTAAAGTGAATGGGTGTACTAGAGTAACCAGTTCTAACTTCTAAAACAGCCAATGTAAACAAAATTTAGTATTCTAAATTCTAAGTCACATGTCTGTTGATGGTAATTATCTTGCCTTTGTTATTATTACAGAGTGGATGATAGTTAAGTTCAAATAACTCACAGTTAAATGTGTAAGCTCTTCGTTCCTGACTAGATTAAAGACAATGCAAATGATCTAGATCTAGGTCTAGATCTGAAGGTTCATATTTGCTGGATTTGAAGCTAAAGGCTTTCCTGAGTTTAATGTAAGATTACCCAATGCAATCAGATCTGACGCAATCAGGTCATATTATTTCAAAAAACAAATTTGACCAAACTATTTAGACTTAACTAAATATTTTAATAAAAAATCCAACTATATGTATTAGTACTTGCTTGAAAAAAATGACTGCAGAAACAGAACAAGGTTAAAAGAAGTCTGGGTTTTTCCTTTTCAAGTATAAAAAATAATTGGCTCTACTTCAAAAATGTCAATTTCATAAGAGATACTGTAGAGTTAAGGAACTATTTGAAAGGAGATCAAAGAGACATAACAATAAATGCAAGAGGTGATCGTGGATTGGATCCTTAGTAGGAAATAAAAATTTATATATCCCTATTTTTAGGATGCATGTTCTGAAGATTTTAGAGATGAAGCGCTATGGTCTCTGCAAATTATAGGAAGTGATTTGAAAACATAAATAAGAATGAGTAAGTGAATATATGATGTGTGTGCAGAGCAAGAGAGTGAGTGATAAAGGAGATGTAGCAAAATACATTTGTTGTATGTTGTAAGAAATACATATGATGACTATAATCCATAGAAGCTTACTGTTTAATGGATAAAACATTGTAGTATATTCAGACAACTAAAAAAACAAACTACAATTAAACACAAACATTTGGGTGAATCTCATAAACAAAATGTTGAGTAAAAGCAACTAGATACAAAAGAATTTGATATATAAATCCATTGCTATAAAGTACATTTATATTGTTACAAATTCAAGATAGTGGCTGCCCGCGGGGATTGGAGGTGCAAATTAGAGGAATTTTCTGGGGTTTGGTAGTGTTTTATTTCTTCACCTAAGTACTGGTTAATGGGAATGTTCAATTTGTAAAAGCTCATTATTGACCTGAACATATTTCTGTATGTGTGTTAATCCTTCAATGAAAAGTGTCAATACCAAGGTTCATTGATTATCTATTTCTATATATAACAAATTACTCCATAACTTTGCAGCCTAAAACAACAAACATTATCTCACATTATTTCTGTGGATCAGGAATCTGGGAGCAGCTTAGCTGGGTCATTCTGGTTCAAGGTCTTCTATGAAGTTGCAATGAAGATGTCACCCAGGGCTGACTACAGTCCATCTGAAGGCTTGATTGGGACTGGAGGATCTACTTCCAAGATGGTGCATCACACCACAGTTGGGTAGAAGCCTCACTTGCTATTGGCAAGTGGCCTCTGGTCTGCATCACACTAACCTCTCCTTATGACTGAGTGTCATCAAAACATCACACTACCTTCCCTAGACCAGGTGATCCACAAGAGAGAGCAAGAAGGAAGCCACAATGCTTGTTATGATCTACTGTCAAAAGTCATAGGCTCTCAGGGCCTCCCTGGTGGTGCAAGGTGTTAAGTCTCAGCACTATGAAGCTATCGGCAGCTACTGCGGCATGAGCTTGATCCTTGGCTAGGGAGCTGACCCACATGGTGCAAGACACCAGTCCTGTCCTGCCCAGTGCTCCCCCCAGCAGTGTATTTTAGTAGATCCACCTGTACTGCTCCCCACTCTGTCTCTGATGAATCTGCCCACCCCTGCCCTGCCCCCACACCTCTGGCCTACACCCCAACTCTTGTATGCATAAATAAATAAAAATAAATCTTTAAAACAAAAGTCATAGGCTATCACCTCCACCAAGTTCTAGTCACTAGAAGCAAGTTATTGAGTCCAGTTCACACTCAAGGAGAGGGGAATTAAGTAGCAAAGAATTTGTTGACATATTTAAAAACTACCACTCTAAGCTTATCTAAAAATATATTTAAGGATTTGGGCTGGCAATCTACACATTAAAACAAATAAAGACAATATTATCAACAACACATGGGAAATAAATCATTAGTAATAACTAATGATTTACATAAACAGCTAATAATAGACATTTATTAAATTACTTAGTATAAGTCAGTCACAGGTTTAAGTGCTTTACATACCTTCTTTTATGTAATTGTTACCACAGTGCTTTGATGTAAGAACCTATCCCCCCTCCACATTACACATGAGGAAATTGAGTCTTAGTGAGATAAAATGGCTTGCCAAAAATTACATGTTGGTTGTGATTATAAGTACTCTTTTTTAGTGTTCTGGTACTCCCTCATATCCCCCTAAAAGTCAAAATAGACTTTTAGTTGATGTAAAGTCATCCTTTCAGCACTAGAAAAAAGAAGTATGAATTCCTGATCACTTACAAACAAGGGTCTAGCTGTATTAAAAATTTAAACACACAAAGGTTTGTTTGTTTAGAAAGTATTGTTATATTCCATCAACTTTGAGAGGAGGGAAAAATGTCAATAGACAAACTTCGATTACAAGGATAATTATTCTAGTCAAACATATGAAACAAGTAGAATTAAGAAGAGGACACTATTGGGTCTCCCTGGTGGCACAAGGGGTTAAGTCTCAGCACGATTAAGCTATCCGCAGGG